TGTGGTGCTAAGGATTGAACCCAGGGCCCCCCACATGCTAAGCAAGTGCTAAGCAAGTGCTCTACCACTGAGCCACAACCCCAGCCCCCATTTTGCCAGCTTTTGAAATGTTTTTAGCCCCACATTGAAGGAGCCTTATGCGATTGAGTTCAAGGTGGTAGGGTTAGTTCTAGCTTTGTCAAAAAATGAAGATCTCTCAGAGAAAACTCGTCTTCTGCAGCACAATCTGTCTCTAGCCAGACCCTCTTTCCTGAGGTCAGTGGGTGAGCCCTGATAGAGGTAGGCAGAGCCTGGAAGTGAGACATTGCGTGGGAACATTGCATGTGCCTATCAGACCCCCTCTTCACCTGATACGTCAAGATGGTGGCCAGAGGAAGGAGGAGCTTGACATGAAAATGTCAAGTAGCTAGGCAAAGACTGGGGCGCATACTTCACAGAGGAAGGCATGGTAGACAGCACACAGGGAAAGAAGCCCACGTCGCTGGTTACCAGGGAGATGCCTAATACCAACTGTCAACCAGGAGCAGAGCAAGTGGAGCAGCCTCATGCTGCTGGAGGGGATGCCACATGCACAACCTCCTGGGACAGATGTTTGACAGTCTGTGACAAACTCACGCTCAGCATTCAGCCACCAGCTCCACTCCTGGATATTTGTCCAGAAGGAAGGAACCCTTTGTCTACTCAAAGGCTCACGTGCATCTGCATGTCATAAAAGCTTTATGACAAAAGCCTCCAGCAGCCCAAGTGTTCATCACCTGGCGAACAAATAAATAAAGTTGTATGTAAAAAAAAATAAACTACTGCACTGCAAACAACATAGAAGAATCTCAAAAACCATGCAGAACAAAGGAAGCCAGACATAAGGGTGTGTTCCAGATGATCTCATTTATTTAAAACTTTAGAGAAGGCCAAACCAGATGGTGATGACCAGAAGCAGATGTGGTCTAGAATGAAGGTATGAGGGTGGGGGAGAATGAACACCAGGGAAAACTGTTTGGGGTGATGGGACTTTGTATATATAGGCGCATATGTATATGTGTGTGTGTGTGTGTGTGTATAGCTGGCCTTGAACTTGTGATCCTCCTGCCTCCCCTCCTGAGCCTCTGGTATCATAGATGTGCACCACCAGCCCTGGCTGACTTTCCAAATTTTTTTTGGCGGGGTGGGGGGGGGGGGCGGGGGGGAGTACCAGGGATTGAACTCAGGGGTACTCAACCACTGAGCCACATCCCCAGCCCTGTTGCGTATTTTATTTAGAGACAGGGTCTCACTGAGTTAATTGCTTAGCACCTTGCTAATTTGCTGAGGCTGGCTTTAAACTCGTGATCCTCCTGCCTCAGGCTCTCGAGCCACTGGGATTACAGGTGTGCGCCACAGCGCCCAGCAGCAAATATGTTCTTATCGTGGTAAAATATACATAATATACATCCATAAAGTTGATCAGAACCCTAAAGAAGAAAACCAGGAGCAAACACAGCTGAATACTGAACTCTGTAGAGGGTAAGGCAAGCAGGCCCTGGAGTGGGACAGAGTCACAGGGAGAACACTGATGGCTACAACCAATAAAATTGAAAACCCCACTGTGCACAACATGAGATGCAGTACTGAGGTGACCGCATGCCGAGTGCAGGGCTGGGGTGGGACTTGGAGAAGTGCAGGCCAGATGGGTAGGCACGTGCTCAGCCTCAGTCTCCCTGCCATCGAATTGCACTTTGAAATGGTGCAGACTGTGGATTTTATGTTATGTATGTTTTACCACAATAAGAAACACATATTTGCTAATCTCTTGCAGCACAGGAATTGACGCGGGAAATGCCAGAGAGACTGGGGACCAGGATCTGGAAAAGAAGGAGCTCAGATAAAATACCCATGACCCAGGCCTGCCATCCCATCTACTAGGGAGCCTGAGGCAGGAGGGTCACAGCTTATGGCCAGCCTGGGCGATTCAGGGAGACCTTGTCTCAAGAAAGAAATAAAAGGGGCTGGAGATTGCTGAGGGCAAGCCTCGCAGTGGGAGAGAACTTGCTTAACACAAAGAAGGCCCTGGGTTCCATTCCCAGTGCTGGAAAAAGAAACAAACAAAACCCCTGCACACAGGGTTTCCTGCCTCTGGCTTGAGGAAGCCTGGAGGCTTTGGCCTGCTCTTCCCTGGACATGCCATCCCCACCTCCCACGCCAGCCCCCTGCTCCTCACCCTGCCCCACTGCAGCCTGCTGAGGGCTTAGGGGTTTAGCAGGCTGGTAGCTCCCCAAAGTGACTCACCCTCCCTTCCTGTCCTTCCCCAGCATCACAGCCTCCATCAGGAGTTTCACCCAGGCTTTGGGCAGGAGGGCAGGGCTGCCCACCATCAGGCAACCTCTCAGGGCTTCAGGATACCCTGGATAGAAAGTTCCTGGATTCCTGCAAGAATTCCTGCCAAGGATGGTGCTCTCACATGAGGAGGATGTGGCCAAGTGGCACCTGGGTATAAGCAGGCAGGCTGAGGGGCTCAGACCATGCAGTGCAGGTTAGAGAGGGAATGGGCCCCAGCATGACCCTGTTAGGCGAGGCCAGAGGGGCAGTGGGGGCATGAGTTGACGCATCTGGAGATTGAAGCAGGAAGCAGGGATGGGAGGGGTCCTCACTATATGGGGCTCTTCCAGGACTGGCTGCGGGCTTTGGGGATCCCAGTGTGAAGGGGGGGCCCTTTGATGGAACCTTGTGAATTTGGACATGGCAACACTGGAACTTTGAACATAGGACCCTACTTTAAACACAGGCCACTACGCAGCCACACATACCCATGAAGCCAGCGCTGGAGTCTTCCGGGTAAGTCCTCAAAGCTTGTAGGGAACTGTTCCCTGAATGTTCCCGCCCACCTGCGTGGGCCTCAGGACCCCTCACTGCTGGCAGCTTCTCCCCAGAGTCTCGCTGAAGTCTCGTCTCCTTCCGGGGTTCCTGACCAAGGAAGTCCTGTGTCTAGCGCTGCTGGAGCCCAGGCTGTTCCTGGGCCTGGCTCTCCTCTCTGGTCTTGCCTGCAACGCCCAGGGTGAGCCCTGTCCTGGCCAGTGGGCAGCCCTGGCCTCCCACCGTCTGGTCTCAGGCACAGGGCCGAATGCGAAGTGGGAGCCTGTCTTGAGTCGCAGCACAGGAGCCCAGTGCTCTTCCTCTGTGCCACCTTCTGCTCGCCTTTCTCGGAGATGCAGGGCCCAAGTGGCGGCTCCTGCTTCCACATCAGGGGCGAAGAGCAGGGGGCGAACCAGGGCATCCGGGTCTTCGTGTGCACCCTGGGCCTCATCAAGGGGTGAGTAGGGCTCTCGCTCCTGGGCCTCCCCGAAATATGCCCATGTTCTGGGCGGGAGTCATGCACGGGACTTTGAGACACCACCGGCTTCCCCCCAGGGCCTGACAGTGTGCCCCTGCGAGAAGGGGAAGGCTGAAAGGCCCAGGTGTGGGTGGAGGGGGCACACGTGCTCATGGGGGGGGGGGAAGGGCTTCCAGGTTCCAATCACTGGGCTCCGAAGGGCCTTTGCTCCCCGGGGTCTGGTGGCCTTAGGGCCACTTGGTCATGAGCACAGATTGAAAAGACTCATGGAAAACCGCAATTCTCTCCCGCCACTGGTCCTTTTCGATATCCAGAAAAGGACTCTTTCCACCAGTTTGAGCCTCCCAAAGTGTTCTGGGTATCTTGGGTTAGGGTTGCCACATTTAGTAAATGAAAGTGAGGTCTCCTCAGCTCAACTGAATTTCAGATAATCGATAAATTGTCATTATTATTAGTAGGTACTGGGGATTAAATCTAGGGGTGCTCTCCCGCTGAGCTACATCCTCAGGCGATTTATTTATTGGTTCTGGGGATTGAGCCTAGTACCTTGAGCATGATAACCAAGTGCTCTACCAACTGAACTACTTTCCCAGCTCTTTTATTTTAATTTTGAGACAGGATCTCACCAAGTTGCCCAGGCTGACCTGGAACTTGTGAGCCTCCTGCCTCAGCCCGGCAAATGGCTGGGATTATGGGCATATATGCCACTGTGCCTTTTGACAATCATTTTCTAGTATAAGTGTGTCCTGGGCAGCATTTGGGATATACTTGCCCCCATAAAAATTCAATGATTGCACAGAGCCTAGTAGTGCACACCTATACCCCCAGAAAAACTCGGGATGCTGACGGAGGAGGATGGCAAGTACAAGATCAGCCTGGGCAATTTAGCCAGACTGTCTCAAAAAGGCCTGCATTTTACCTGGCAGCTCTACTTGGAATAACCTTTCACCTCCCTGTTTATTTGAACACCATCAGGCAGAGCCTGGCCTGATTTGCTGGTCTCTGATCCTGAAAATAACCAGCCTAGCTTGGGTCAAGGTCCACCTCTGGTCTACTCTGTCTAAGGAGGAATCTCAAGGTGGCAACTGCGCCTGACTTTGGGTAGTTTGAGGAGGAGGCTCCCAGGAGGGGAAGTTGTGAGCTGGGCAGATCCTGCAAAAGATGCAACCCCAGGCTCAGGATGAGGCCGGCAGTAGGAGAGGTGCCCCACATGTCGCAGTTGGTCCAAAGGACATGCAGGGATAGACTCAGAGGCGTGAGGGTTCCAGGACCGCAGGGGTGGCACAACCTCTTGGGACCAGATTCCCTGGGGACCTAGGGAAATGGGCGTATTCCAAGAGGCGGAGGCCGGAAGCAGCAGCCTGAGGGAGGACAGACTGACCCTTGCTAAGCAGAGCACCGCACCTGCCAGGGAGACGAAGCGTGCATTCAGACGGTGGGGAGGGCCCAGCCGGCAAGGGAAGAAACTGGCTGTCCTCGGGGGCTGGGCAGGCTGCAAGTCTAGCTGTGTGTGGGGGGGTGCTAACTCGTTCTCTCACCAGCATCCAGACGCTGCTCGCAGCGCACTGGAGCCCGGGACCCCCCAATGCCCCGCGGCAGAGCGCTGGGACTCTTGCTGCCGGCAGGTGAGCACGTGACTGCCCTAGAGCGCAGCGCGCTCGTCTGCGTCCGACACCTGCGCTGGACCACCAGCAGGGGGCGCCCGGTCACCTTCGGGCGCCCTGGGGGCCGGAAGTTCCGCGTCCACCCTCCCGCTCCCGGCCAGCAGGTCCTGTCCGCCAAAGACCAGGGCTGGTTCCTCTGTCTCTCGGGAGCCTGTCTCCCAGAGAAGCCGTCCACCCAGGGGCCCACCGCGGTCCCAGAGGAGCCGACCTCCAGCGTGGACCAGGGCTGCGGAGCAGGTTCTACACCCCACCTGGCGCCGCCGCCTGGTGCCCCTGTGCGCTCACCTGGTTGGGCTGGGAGATCTGAGGACCCCGGGCTGGAGGCATCGAGGCCAGGGCGACCCTGAATCCCCGTGTTGAATAGTTTCTGCACCTATCTGAGCCCGTGTGGCCCTCGTCACCACAGAGTTTTGGCCCTACACCGGCGCACGGCTTCTAGGTCTGCTCAGTCGGACCCGAGTTCCCCGAGAACGCACGCAGCACCCCAGCCAGAGCTTGTCTCAATGCAGGGTCTGGCACGCAGGGCTCTCTGAGTGTTAGCTGTGGGCACCATGAAGGAATTCCCTTGAAAGTCCCCCAAAGGATTGCTGGTGCTGGCTTGCGCTCTGCAACCACTCCTTGAGAGGGCGCCATCGCTTTCCTTGCTGTCACGCTCCTTGAGCTCCCGGCCACCTCGACCTCTCCACCTCTCCACCTCTTCATCTTCCCTCACAAGGCGGAGCTGTCACTCATCAGCCCCATTCCTGACCATCCTTGTTGCCATACCAGGAAGCACTGGAAAACAGGGGCTCCCCTCCCCCGCTGCTGTCCGCCCAAGAAAGGACGAGAGTCTGGTTGATGCTGAAAACCAATTCCCCTTTTAGAAGCCGGTTGCAGGAAATAAATTAAGTGACAGGACTGGCTGCCCAGGATGGTGGAACCACAGGGAAGGTGAGGTGGGAGGTCCCCAGCCGACCCCAGTAGCTTCTCTTTCCCCACGAAGGGAAAAAAAAAAAAGGCACCGATCTCCCTTACAAGGCAACTGCATCTGCACTTGCCAGAATATTGTCTTAAATGGGTTTCATAAATACCTGCGCTCAGTGGCAAGGCTGGTGACAACCATAATTTCCAAACACTGATGGCTGTGAATTTTGAGGTGCCTGTGATAACTGTAACTGGCGTGGCAAATTCACAGGTGTCATGTCACATCAGGTTCATACAGAGGGGAACACAAACTATCCAATGGAGAGCAATACAAATAAAGACACCCCCACTCTACCCCATTCCTGGGTTCCCTGAGGTTACCGGGCTCTCGAGAAGCATTTTCAATTAAATAAAAATGAAAGTAGAGAACAGTATCAGAGTGGATCTTATGCAGAACACTTAGGATTTTGTGAAATCCCAGGGTTCAGGGTCCAGACTCTGCAGCTGGGCCCTAACTCTGCCACTCTGTGCCATGTGAGCCAGGTCAAGTTACTCTGTGCCCCATGCCTCAGTTTCCCCATTTTGCACCCAGAGAGATGGACATCTTGTCCGTGAGTTGCTTTGAGCAGGGCATGCAGCAGAGCCCTGTCCTCAGCTTTCTCTGGCTCTTCTTGCCTTTAGCTGAGTTTATTTCTGAGCCTGAGGTGCTCTCCTCACTTTGTCCACTGGTCGATTCTCCCTCATCCTTTAAGATTTCCTAGATCCTGCCTCCTCCAGGAAGCGATCCTTGAAGCAATGCCACCACCTCACTGCCAGGGTCCTGCCCTAGCGGGGTCCAGGGAGTCCTGAAGGATGAGTGGCGTCGGTGAAAAGATGAGACAGGAGTCGTTCTGCTGGAGCAACCTCCAGAGAGAGAGCTCTAATGCAGCTTTCTCTGGGTCATCTTTTATTGCATTTTTTCTCATCATTATAGATTCAGAATACGTCACTGATTATACAATTTAAAACTTTTGCCAAGACATGACATTTCCTTAACCATAATTAGGGGTACAAAAAATGTAACATTAATTTACCTTTTTCCAGGATATGACCTTTAGTTACTTAATTATTAAAAGTACAGAATCATTAATAAAATGCATCACTAATTTACATTTTTCAGATTTTCCCAAGATTTACTATTTTCCCCAAGATATGCGATTTTCTTATTAACTAATGCCAAACTACGTAACCAGACTCTAAGTCTCCTAACCAATCATTAACCTTTAAGTTTAAAGTACACCTTTACTTTATTTCTAATCTAAAATTCCCATCTAAAAAAGTCCCCTTAAATCTTATACTTAAAATATAAATCATTCTTAAAACATATCAGAAACCCATACAACTAAAAACTTAAGAATTTCTAAATCCAAAAATCTAAATAGGATAATATTTCTAACATTATTCTAAAAATACATCTTATAAAGCTACTTTAATTAATTCCTAAATTTATTCTCATAAAACTGGTTGAGCTGCTTTCTCAAAGAGTTTCTTTGTTTCTCAGTCAAGGTGCACTAGTTCTCATATCTTTATAATCTTTCTCAATAGAAAGTAAGTTCTAAACATCAGTCCACTTTCCACCAATATTAACTATGCTCATCATAAATTCCTATGTAAAGTAAAAAGGGTTTATAAAAAGAGAAGAATATATCTTTATATGTTTTAACTTTCCTAAGTGTATAATATAACTTTCCTCAATCAAGAATGAGGCTACCTATGGTGGGCTTTGTAAAATAAGCATAATAATTAGGTTTTCTAAGAGGCAGGAAATATGAGCTTGGGTTCTATTTGATATAATCAATGTGGTGCCTAAAATTCTCATGACCTTTCAGAAAATGATTGTTGTCCATTATCAGATTTGTCCTCAATGTACTGATGTGCTGAGGGGTAGTAGAACAGCCTCCAAGGCATGAACTACCTGCTATGTTCTAGCCATCTGAAATTTAATTTGTTTGGCATTTAACATACTCATGCCTCCTGTCAGAAACATAAGCATGAAAATGAAAAGTCCCAATTATATAAAAAAGGGTCTCATGGTTTTGGTTTCCCACCAACCAGCGTGGCCTTGCCAGCATTCATCCTCACTGTGACCCTGTCAAGACAGTGGGAGAGCGGCTTTGCCAGCGCTTATTCTCACTGTGACCCTGTCAAGACAGTGAGTGGGGGATCGCCTTCACCACCTCACCTTTGGGCAGTTGCCTATGCCTAACCACCTGCCAGCGTCCCCATCAGTGCAGATGCCCCAACACATTGCCACCATCTGCCTATGCATCTGTCCCATTGGAGCAGCCAGTTCCTCAGCTGGATGTTACTAGTCCTTCTCAGTTTCTTTCTTCTCTCCCAGGGGGAGCTGGTGTGGACCAGAGCTGGCAAAAGCTTGCTTTACGAACACATGAATGAACAAATGGCATCCCTGCCCCTGCTCACTCAGAGAAGCCTGCCACTGGCCCTGGTCAGTGGAGGTAAGCTGGATGGGCTCACCCCTCATCTCCACTCACTGGGCTCCAGCCCTGGGGACTTTGGTTCCTCAAACCCAAAGACCAAGCCTGGATGTATTCTGTTATTGCAGAAGTTTATTGATTGGTAAATTTACTTTTCAGGTCCATACTGACTCTGTGCATCCGCAGGGATCCAATCAGGGTAGCCGGATCCTTGTGTATCTAACATTGTTGGTGCCTGACCCCACTTAAGGGAAATGCCCCTGATGCCAAAGACACCACGTACACCACAGATGCCCTTGAGCACCTCGCCTTCTTCTTTGGGGAAGCCCGAGAACTCCTGGCCAACTCTCTTCCCAAACGAGGCACAACGTGGCCGGCTGGTGCACACAATCAGTTGCTTGAGGTTGAGTAAGAATGTGCCGTGGATCTCTGTGATGTATTCGTCCGGGCCCAGAATCAGTTCCTGAGACCTCCCACCTGGAATGCCTTGGACAGCATCCCAGAAGTCTCCAAGCTGCAACTGGATGCTGGGAGACAGACCAAGCCCTAAGCACCCAGTACTGCCTGGTCCTCTGGGCCCTGCCCCCTCCTGCACTCTGCTTCCTGAGACCCTGGGCCCCAGCAGTCGTGGGGCTTGTGATCTTGAATCCATTACCCAGCCTCCCCAGGGCTCCATTTCCTCCTGTATAAGGTGGGAATGACTGCTGGGCAGGGTCCCTGAGGTCATCCTGAGGAGAATTCAGGCAGGGTCCAGTCATGATGACCCATGACCCTCAGGAGGAGCTGGCTGCTGTCATGTGCCAAGCTTGACCTTCCTGAGTCACTTAGGAGTCTGAGTCACAGGCCTGAGGAGCTGTCCCCTCCAGGTGCACCAGTCCACCTACCCTGCCTGGCTGGGCTTATCTGAGTCCCTTTGCTCAATTGGTATTTCTTAGGGCTTCCCTATCATGCCCTACCCACACTCTGTCTGCTTTGCTTTTGGTGACTGTGCCCCATTCTCTCTCCCACATCCCCAGTAACCTCTAAGTGCAGAGCAAAGATCCACCCCAGACCTCAAGCAGGGGCATCCAGTATTAGGGTTTTCTGCCTTTAATACTTCTGGCCACTCATGTTCATTCAGTGGTCCACTCTGACCCCCACCTCCTTTTCTCTAGCATGATACACCTCCCCTTGGTTGTTCCAAGGGAACTGAGGTGCCATCTTTGGTTGAGTTGTTTGGGTTGAAAGGAGAAAGTAAGGAGAAGCATGGCCAACCCTCTCTGAGCAACTCAGAAGGTGACAGTGGAACTTACAAGTGGAGTCAAGAAGTAAGGTAATGAGCAGGAGAGGAGGTGGCTGGGGGAAGGGGACAGGTGGCTCTGTGACTCCAGGAATCATCTGGCTTAAAGAGCTGTTGGGAGCCAGGTGAGGATTTGGGGAAAGAGGCTGTAAGGGGTCCTTCTACCATGTTTCTGAGTCCGGGGACAGTTGGGTCACCAAGGCAAGGCCCCACCACCCAGGCCCCACTCACTTTAAAATGATGCCAAGGCCATTTGTAGACACCCGAATTCCCTTGACGGCTTCTCCATTGTACTCAGAGGAACAGAAAAACGTGCCCTTCCTGGACCCGTACATCTCTGTGTGGATAAGGACCATGGTGGGAGAAACACCAAGTCAAGGGGAAGTCTCCTCTACCCCAAGAAGCAGACCCCACCCCGCAACAAAGAGCGTGGTCTGGGGAACAGACCAGGACAGAACTGGGAGAGTCCCTGGGTCTCCTGGGTAGAGGGAGGTGAGATGGCCACCAGGGACATGGGCTGGAGGGGGCAGACCCACCAGATATATAATCAGCCCAGCAGGCCGGGCTCCCTAGGAGGGCGAGGATCAGCAACAGCAGCATGGCTTCTAGTTGGTGCTCAGGGCTCTGGGGAGGAAAGCAGAGTCACCTGATTCCTAGTGCAGGGCCTGCCCAACCTCCTGGCCCATTCAGGGAGCAGAGCACCTTACCTGGCTGGTAAGTCTCCTGGAGCCTGGGTGTCCTTCCTCTGCCCCTTATATGCTCCTAGTTCCTGTGGGCCCCCATCCAGAAGGAAGGAGCCAGGGGCCACCAGGGGGTTGGGAAGGAAGGAGCTGGGCAGTGGGGGCTCTTCCTGGGTGAATCCCCAGAGGCTTGTGGGGGAGGCTCCCGGATGTGCTGTGTTTGCTGCTTTGGCCCAGCAGCCTACACAAACAGGCCGGGACAGTGAATGGCACTTTACTGTTACTTCTGTGTTCTCTCATCAGCACTTGGATTGACCTGGATTTCAAGGTTGGGAGAGGCTTCTTGGAGCCCTTCCCTGGGCTGGACAGGCAGGTTTAGACCCTAGGGGGCTGGGGGCTTGGGGGTAGCAGGGTGGGTGTCCTCAGAAGCTCTCTGGGGTGCAGACCCCTGCCTGTGTAGAGCAGGTCCAGGGCCTCTTTCAGCCTGGGCAGCACCCCGGCTCTGGCGGGCTTTCCAGAGTCCAAGCCAAGCTTCTCCTGGCTAGAGAGCCAGAGTGGACAATCTAGCTCAACACTTGACCCTGTCTTGTCCCTCGGAAGGAAACTGTGGCTTCTCCGCTGTCTTAGGTCTAGGTGTAGTTGCGGGGTGGACTGGCGTTGAGGGAGAGAAGGACATCAAAGTTGGGGCTGGTGCCCCGTGGGAGGCAGAAGATCGAGAGAGGGTGGTTCTCCTGGCCAGTCCTTCTGTGAGCACCCGGGGGGTCTGCCCTTATTTGGGTGGTGCTGGTGTTTCTCCCAGGCTGGGCTCTGGGCAGCTTCTAGGTGCAGCAGACCACACCCCTTTGCCAACTTTCCCTATTTAGTGCCCTCAGCGCCCTCCAGGAGGAAGACTGGTACCTGGCGCACACAGGTCCCTGTTTGAGTTACACCGTTCTGAGTCTAGCCTCCATGAAGCAGGAGACTTTCTGCCTCCAAGATCTTGAAGGCCTAGCGCCTCCCCGCTGGAGAGGAACCCGGGTCTGGGAAGAGGTGAAGACAAGGGTGGCGGTGTGACTGGCTGAAGGCAAGGCTGTCCCCAGGGTTCCCACCTTTGGTTCAGACCCCGGGTGGTGATGGTCAACACAGGACACTGGAACTGGCTCAGGTGTGAATCCCAACTCCCTGCTCACCAGGGATGCGATCGTTTCATCTGTTACATGTGGATTGTTATCTACATAGAATCTACTCTTGGGGTTGCTGTGAGGATCCAGGTTCTCCACATAAGGGCCGGAATGCCAAGCCTACACTGTGTAGGCAGGCGACAGCCTGATTCCCTGGAAGGTGCAACAGGTTACAAACAGACCCGAGTGGCCAGCAATGACAGAGTACGGGCAGTGGTATCCACCACACTGAACCCTGCAAAGGTGTGGGAGGAGGGCCATGTCCCCACCCCGGAGTCTTTCACCCAAGGCAACCCTGCTCGTGTGGGGGGCTGTGTCTAGATACCTCTGTGTGCTTGTAAAAGAAAGAGTGGGGAGGGAGTGGCCTGGAATGTGCACAGACTCCTGAGAATGGGGACCCTGCTCTTATGGAATAGCAGCAGGGGAGGGGCTGCAGGATAGGCTCAGGGTTCCCCAGGACTTCTAGGACTCACCTGGGCCAGGTACTACCTATGCCAGAGGTGAGCAAACTATGGCTGTCAGGCCAAACCAGCCCACCACCTGTTTTTGAGCTAAGAATGCTTTTCACATGTTAAAACCATCAGAAAAAATTCAAAAGAGAGGGCTGGGGTTGTGGCTCAGTGGTAGAGCGCTTGCCTAGCATGTGTGGGGCACTGGGATGGATTCTCAGCTCCACATATAAATAAATGAATAAAATAAAGTTTCATTAACATCTAAAAATTTTTAAAAAAATTCAAAACAGCAATGTTTTGTGGCACATAAACATGTTGTGCAAGCCCGCGCCACTGTCCACAGAGGAAGCATCAGGGCAGGAAGCTGCACCCTGTCCCTCGCCGGCCGCCCAGGTAGCTCAGAGGGCTTGTGGCAGGGACCCTCAGCCCACAAAGCCCAGGACTGCACTATCTGGCCCTTCACACACTGTCTGCCCACCCGTAATGGACACCCATGCCGCACCCTGGAACAAACACAGCCGTCACAGTTGGGACTAAATAGGTGAAGTAAAGGTGACTGTGCCAACCAGCCTTTGGAGCCCTTGGTTCTGGCCCCTGCACTGTCTGCCTGGGGATGCTTGGTGGAATTCAGGTCCCCTCTGATCCCAATCCTACCTGTCCTCCCGGTGACCCTCTGGCGTGCAGATGCAGGATAGGCTGGGTCGGGGAGGGTAGTGGCCCCCTGCCAAGGCTGGGGGGGCCTTCGGTAGGTGGAGGAGCCAGAACCCTTGGCGGCGGCAGAGCTCTTGGAGACAGGGGCCTGGAAACCACACAAAGGCGGCTTGTGTTCTGTCCCAGCCCAGCCTGAAGGCATTTTTGCAGGTTTGCTGCCTGTTCCAATGCCTTCTAGAAGGATTTGGCACCAGGAGAAGGTCTGTCTGGGCCAGGACTCCAGGAAGCACCACCCAGGGAAGTGGGGAATTGGAAGAGGCAGTTGGCAGCCTGGCCGGAGGGAGGACATGCCCAACGGCACCCACAAGGCACATTTACACAGAGCAGGCAGGTGTGGCAACAGACTCACGTGCACACCCACGCTGGGCAGTGCAGGAACACACGCGGTACACTTGCTGTTATACACAGGAGGAGGCACATGTGTCAGCTCTTTGTGTGCACAGGTGGGAGGTCACCATTCTGAATCAACCTCACCCTGAATCCTCCAGCCACCTAGGCCTGAGTGCTGGCCCTGAGCCTATTCTCACAGATGCTCAACACAGCCCTTTGTCCCTTGGGATCAGGGCTCCCCAAGAGGAGGATTTACTGAGCATTTATTCCATGTACTGGGTACGCCCCAGTTTGCACTCTGCCAGGAAAGGGAACAATGAAGCCTTCTCCTTCCAGAGAGGTGGACCCTGGGCTTGGGGGCCTTGTATGTCAGCAGTTGGATTAGATCACATAGGCCTGGCCTCCCTACCCTCCTGGAGTGGGGCTTGGGGGGACCCGTCTGAGCACAGCAGGTCAGAACTTCAGTCCAAGGGCCAGGCTCGTCCTCTACAGAAAGTCCCAGCCTCACTTGAAGGCGGGAGCCTGGGTCCCTAGCTCTGGTCCTGGGACAGACTGAACTTTCTGGGGTCAAGCTGGGAACTGGCTTCTCCATGCACCCTCAGCCCATCGCTTCTCAGCCTCTTCTCAGAAGAGGCTGCTGGGAAGGGGATGGGAACTCGTGGGCGAGGGCAGAGGCTGGCCTTCATGTGTGGACTTCCCTTGAGTGGCTGCTGTTGGGGAATGAGGCCCCTACCCAGGAAGGCTTCGAGGAGTCGGGGAGTGGGAGGCGATTCCACCATGCGTCCCTGGGACCCTGCAACAGCACCACTCACGTTCACGTGGGCACCTCCCTACCTGCTGGGCATTTTATCTATCCTCCCCAGCAAAACTCAACACTAACTGGACCTCCAGACACACATTTTGCCTAATCTTTGGTGTAACTAAAATCCCATTAGTACAGGTATTAAATTTTTTAAAAAAAATTAAAATACATTCAAATTTCAAATGGGGCTGCAGGGCTGCCAGCGCCCACGTGGAGTCCTAATGAGCTCAGGCAGCCTTACAAGAACACCTTAGACAGCCAGGCTCCAGCCAGTTGTTTTGGAGGCTGGACGTCTAAGGTGAAGGTTCCTTGGGTTGGGTTCTTGGTGATGGTCGCTTCCTGGCTGGTTGACAGCTGCCGTCTCCCTGTGTTCTTGTCTGGCCAAGAGGAGGGCGGTTGAGGAGTGTTCTGAGGTTAGGACCTCTTCTTATAAGAGTCCTAGCCTCAACCTGGGGCCTCTCCCTCATGACCTCACCAGCACCCGATCATCTCCAAAGGGCACCCCCTATGTCACATCAGAAGTTACAAATTGAGGAGACTCTAACATTCAACTCAGAGCTGGCCTCTGTACTTGGGAGTTGAGGTGCCCTAGCCAAGCAGCGGTGGGGGGGGGGGGCAGGGGCTAAAAAGAGGCAACCCCTTCCGCTGGGGGTGGGGTGCCAGGCTGTGGAACTGCCTTTCCTCTCTGACAAGTTCCCTTGGGCCACCGTTCACCTGTGCCCTGCTGGACAATCCATTGAGCTGTGGCCAGGCTCAGAAGGATTCTCCTTCTCCAGGCCCCACCCTTTCAGACATCTCAGCAGCATGTGGTGTCGGGCTCCTCCCAATACCACAGGGTCAGTTGAGTTTGTGATCCACCTTTTACTTCTGAGTTGTTCCCTCTGGGCAGTTTTCTCTCTAGTCCACTGCTCAATGCCATCCAGAAGTCCCCAGACCTGACAGGGCCCCTGGCTCATCTCCTCTCTCTGGAATCAGCCACGTGACTCCAATCACACCTCAGGAGCTGCCTTCTGATCTGTACCCAGCACTTCCTACCTGCTGCATCTTCCTCCTCTCCAAACAGGGATTCCCCTGCCTGCCCCATGCATGACACCCCAGAACTCAGAGGGACAAAGCACCTTCCCTGCTGCAATTGTGGGGGACTAGCCAACCCACCCACCTCAGCTCAACTGCCCTGACGCAGTCTGGCTGGGCACAATTCAGGAGCCACTTGTCAAAAGAAACGAACTTTATTTTTAGAACCACACACTAAACCACACAGCTCCTCAGGAAAAACCTTTAGAGCCCAACTGCCACCACCGGCTTGCACAAGCCTCTCAACCTCCCCCCCTCCTCCTCCTGCTCTTGAGGCCGATTGGCTGGGTCACGTGGGCGGAGCCAAAAAAAGTCCCCCAATGAGCAGCTCCGTGGTCTGAAAGGGCGGGGAAACAGCCCAATGAGCATCACCGCAGAGGAGCCAATCAGTTGGCAGCTAGAAGTTGCTGGGGCCGCTGTGAGCCAATCATCAGATGGCAGCTGGAAGTTTGCTGGGGCCCCTTTCGGCTGTGGCTCTCAACACTGCCCACTAAGTGATGCAGACCCATAAGGCAGAAGGACAGCAAGGTAGTGGACCCCTGCCCAGAAGCCCTCTCCAACCTTCCTCCTAGGCTCACAGGTGACAGGAACATGTGCGTCAGAGGTACATTTTCCAGAAGTGGGGCTGGGGGTGGCACCAGGAGGGAGGAAGCTGGCCAGAGCATATCTATCTTCTGTGCTCACAGCATTTGAGGATTTTGCAAGACCCACTCTGCTTGAATAAGCTAGAGACCCCCCACCAAGGCTGCCTGGTGAACTGGTCCCTTGGCCATGCGAGGAGGGCCTGTGGAGTGCAGACAGGGTGGGTGCCTTCCCACTTTCCCACCCCCACCACTTTCCGCCACAGCAGGTGAAGCTCTGACTGACAGCCTCAGCTGGAGTCAGCTCCTGCGCTGGAGAATCTCATGCCCTCGGGACCACGCTGTGCTTTGGGGGTCAGGAGGAATGCCAGCCCTGCTGACCTTGTCCTCAGTGGTCCAGTGCTGCAGTTACCCACAATG